AAATCTTGGAGAGTCATCTGTCTAGACCTTAGATCACTCACTTGAAGCTGTTACAATGTATTCAGGCAGGGATTGGGATCAAAATCTATTTGCTAACTGCTTACAGAGGTGCCTTTGGGAGAAGTTCTGAGCATTCACCATCTGGGTTTATGGTATGTGGAGTTTTGATAGATTAGGCGGTAGGATTCACCAAGTATGAGATAAATTTGAGGAGTTTGTTTATTAAAACCGTAACATTATGCCTAATGGCTGTTTTGGTTTTTCCTCTAATTCCCTTCCTGTAGTGACAGTTGATGCCCTGAGAGCAGGTCAGCCTCAGAGGCAGCATAACTGGGATTGCCCTGCATTGTTCATTGCACAAATCAATCCGTCTGTCCTGGTCCACCAAACAAACATTTTCCTGCCAATCTTTAAATCAGGATTTCTCTATGTCAGACTACATTTGATGTGAAAATATACACCATAGCACTCTAGCTGCCACATTTGGAGGAGGCATATTATCTATTTTGGTATAATGAGAGCCCAGTGCAATCCAACTGGGAAGAGGATCCAGAAGTGAATATTCCAAAATGACGAGAGAGAGGAATATAATCTAAGGAGAAAAGAGCAAAATCTAGTGCAATTCAACACTAAAATTCAGAGGGTTCAAATCTACCTCTTTGAGCAAAAGTTGCATCCTTTTCAGGGATATTTGTGGTGGAAGGAAACAATCTTTTTGAGATACTTGCCAGGTATAAATAAATGACTACCATGCAAAATATAAATAATTAAACAATAAATTCATTTTAAGTCTGTGTATGCTTCCTCATAAAATGTTCATCTGTAAATGTCCCTTGAAATCTCACTGATCAACTTACTCAAACTTAACTTACTCATTTGTGATACATCTCTAGGAACAAGTATTCCCAAGTACTTAAACTCAGCACAAAGCATGATGTGCTAGCTAATAAATGCTCTGTGGGGTATATTATTACTACACTACACTACATTCAAACCCTGCATTTTTATCTCTTACAAGGAACTCGGACAGCTTATATAGTACTCCATTCAATTTTATCCTCACAACAACAGCCCTGTGGGGCACGTTGGGCTGAGAGTCAGTGGCTGGCCCAAAATCTTCCAGTGAGCTTCCTGGATTTCACAAATCCCCAGTCCAACACTCACCAACACATCCCACTGGCTCTCAATATTATATTGTCTCCAAAACAGGAGTTCCTACATTGACCAGTTAATATAATAAACAGATACATACCTGAAATTACTAATTGTCTTTATCAAAGCTGGAACAGATTACTGTAGTTCCAAAATAAAAAACAGAAAGATTAGGTTTGTATTCTAGTGAGTTATACACAGGTCCATCAATATTAGGGTTTTGTCAAACACACTAGGAGCTCTAAACAATGAGGAAAGAGGAAAGGGGGGGGGAGAAAGGATAGAAATGTAATGTAATAATACAAACAGTTCTTCAATCAAGTTAAAAAAAAGAACTCAGACAAAACTCCCTTGGGCCTTACTCTGGCTCTATGCATTTCATATACAGTTTTAACCTATTTCAAAAATTCTGGCGAAAAACCAAACTATCTTAGTGTGGCAAAGATAAATTTCCAGTTGATTTTATTGAAGGCCTTCTTCTCATCCAAACAGATAATGCTAACTTGGTTTTGTTCCCATTTAATACATTCAGATTCACAACTAGTCTATCAGCACCCTGCCTACTTTTAATGAATTCCTCCTCATCCTATTGGACTAACACTGTGATAAGTCATTGTAGTCCCTCAGCCAAAATTGCAGATTTTAAAATCAACATTGAAAATGATGGGCTGATAATTGGTACAGAAGCTATGATCTCTATCTTGTTTAGATATCATGGTAATGTAAGCATCACTGAGTGCTAAAAGAGAACCCAATTCAGAAATAGAATTAAGCAAACAATAAAATGTGAGAACTAGAAATTGGAAAATATTTTATATCTCTCAATTGTAAAACCATCCAGATCAGATGCTTTCCCCATTTTGATATTTGCTATTGCTTTCCTAATTACATCAATCTGCAGAGGCCTCATTAATAACTAGAGATGAAAGATTGACTTGGGATGGGGGGGAAAGCATTGATATCTTTTCTGATGCTTTGCAGCAACTGCTAATAATTTTGAATGACATTTTTGAAATTGTAAAAGTGTATCTTCAGAATGAGTACCTTGCCACTATCATCTTTAATTTCAAGATGCCAAGATTTTACTGGACTGTTCTCCTAATATATCTGTCTTAAACAAGCAAATACATGATCTACTTGCTGTGAAAAAAAATCTAACTCATATTTAACAAGCTGCATCTCCTGATGAAGTCGTGCCATTTGGAAAAGTTGCCAACTGACATTTTAAGAGTTTTCAACCTCTCACTTAAACCTATGTGTTATTCCTGTTTTAATTTATCACCATGAGAAGCATAAACAATAATTTAACCCCCAAGATATATACTTTATTAGGCTCCCACACAGTGAAACATGAATTGGTTGTACCCTCATTGATTTCAAAATATTCTTGTAGCTCAGCAAGAATCTGATTTTTTTGAAGACGCATGATTTAACAAGAACGTGTTAAAGTGCCAGAGATCTTCAGGGTTTGGGCTATTTCTAAATTGCAAGGACAAACAAACTGGGACATGGTCTGATATCACCAGCACTTCAGTCTTATAGTCTCAGATTTGCTGTAACAAAGATGTGAAAACAAAAGAAGTCATACAGCTGACAACAATTACTGCGGACAGAGGATATGGACATATAGTCTCTCCTATCCAGATGCAATATTCTCCATGGGTCAGTCAGGCCAAATTCTGCTGCATAGGCTTGAATTGTGAATCTCACAACTTAGGGACAGTATATTCTTTCCCAGGAAGAAATTTAAGATTTCATTAAAAAATCCCATCACACACAATCACATATGCAATATCAAGCAGTTTTCTGGAACATTTGTGAAACCTGGCTGAAGATGGGCCCATGCACATGGCCCAAAGTCATTACTTTTCAACCAAAATAAATACTGACCATCAGGAACAATGTGGGCTGTTGAACTGTAAATACAAATTGTGGTCAATTGATCTGACTAACAAAGCACAAAGGAAAAAAGAAAATGAGGAAAGAAAAAAAGAAAACCAAGTTAAACTATAACAAAGTAGTTAACAAAATGCCCGGAGATTTATCTAGGCAAAATACCCATACTCTAAGGAGTATGGAAATCATGGCCAGAGACCCAGCACTTTCCAGTCAATTTCTGGAGCATGAAAATAAATATGGGCTTGTAGAGGATCGGAAATCAGAAGGTGACTTTCGGGCAAAATAGAGATCCCATAAGAACAGATTGTGCAGCTTCTGGAGATTGAAACATCTTCAATTCATCTTGAAATTACACTGTAAATATAGCCAGGAAACTGTTATGGCAGATAAAATTAAGATATTTTGCCATTCTTTGGGCTTTTCCAAACTTTCTCCTCTGACCAGATTTGTTTGGTGAAATCTATGTAAAGTATATTTTATCACTGTCTGGACCCCAAGTGGAACTTTCCCTTCTGCCTAGCTGCATAGAGGATGTATTCATAATCCAATACACCCAGAAACTTGACAGTAGCATGTGTCAGTGTCACTCCTTGTGTAGGGCTAGGATTATGATAAGCATATTCGATATCAAGATGAAAATATTGTTTCAAAACCTGATACAGGACCAAATCCACATGGTCTATCAGCCTGACTTGTGGGGGCTGCTTGTGCAAACCAAGCATTCTCAGAGTTGTCCTCCAGGAAGAGTCTTCCAAAAATAAAACCTGAACAAATATTGTACTAGCTGAGGCAGACATTAAGTTTTCAAATCTAGCATCTATCATCTCGAGACAACAGCCAATTGAATCCACAGATCCTTGAAGTTTAACTAAGGCTTGTAGCTTTTCAATCTTCTTGGACTGCCAATGGCAAACTAAACATGTCATCTTTTCTCCTCTCTGTCCCTGTCTAAAAGATCTTAGCAGTAGCAGCTTGGTTGAAGAAAGTGTCTTCAAGGTCTGAAGGTTTCAGGTCTGAAAGCAGCCATGGCCCTCAACACTCCTGATACACAAATCCTCATGAGCTTCAAGCAGTTATGAAAATAAAAGAATGTATTATACTACAAACAGTCTTAACAAAAAGTGAAGCAATAAAGAAAATTCACTCAGGAAATAAATCTATCTCAGTAGTATTCTGGAAGCTGAAAAATAGATGGTAAAGAATGATAGACCACTTACATCACCTTCATAGCCAGAAGTCGTGGGTCCATAAATGTGCCTGTGTAATGAACCCAGAAATGGAGGGATGCTTTGCAGAGCACTGGAGCACATACATGTTCTGGACTTGGAAAAATAATATAGTTTTATTTTACCAAAAATCTTTATAAAGAAGTTTCTATCAGACTGCCAAACTCCAGCACCAGAGCATCAGACTATCTTCATTATTTTGCCAAGGAAGGAACAGGGAAGTTGTTCAGGAAGAGGCCCCAGGGTTGTTTCATAAGGCATTGTGCCAGGGCCAGCTGATGACATGGAGCAAAAGTCTGTGCAATGCCTTGTCTTCTCCCGTTCTCTCGTAACGTGTCCACATAGAAGTAGTGTTCTTGATAATTCTTGTCTCTTGCACAAGGATTTAGTGCTATTAGAAAAAATCTCTTTTGTGTACAGAACAATCCTTCTCCTTGTGCAGAGGTACCTCTAGGTCCAGCAGAAACCATCATTTCTAGTAAATACACTGAATAATAATGATGATGCTATTGATGTCAAAAAAGGTGAACATCCATTTCAATTGTATGGCTGACAGATATAATATTTGCCACTTCATGTGGTATACCAAGTTGGATATAACTGGAAAACATGACAAAAAACTTTTTGTAATAATTTATTAAAATTAATTGATTAAATTATACTATATGATTTTTAAAAGGATTTTTTAAAATCCTCAATTACTATTGTGTTTTGTGCTTACAGGTCTGGGTGGATGCCGGGACACAGATATTTTTCTCCTATGCCATCTGCCTAGGATGCTTGACTGCTCTAGGGAGCTACAATAACTACAATAATAATTGCTACAGGTAACACAAAGTTTCAGTATGAGTGTGTGCGTAGTTCTTCTCTTTAGTTTATAAAACAGGATCTCCTTGTATAACTATCTGAGGAAAATGCATGTAGGTATATCCCGGTGTAGCACCTTTGGGTGTACACAGGCACTTCATTTAAAGGATCATATCCTTAATTGATCCAATAGCTTTGAAAATAATTTGTTTACCTTTGTAATTGCAGAAAAGCTCAGTGATATGTTATTAAAATTATAAAAGCACATTTTAATTAAGAGAAAATGTGATGAAACCCTATTTTTAATGTGTATCATATAGTTCTCTGTGACAAATGCTTACATATACTGGATATAACTAGCACATATGCTGTCACTTTTAAAATGCTTTAATGCATAGACGGTTTAATTCTATAAAAGTTGAGACAGAAATAATGGCATAGAGAATAAAGTCTTTCTAGACTCTTTAGCTTTTGATTCTTCATGACAAAGTATGATCTAGAATTTCCAACATGCTAGAACAACATTTATTTATTTAGATTTTTTAAAATACCAGTCCACTTCCAAAGGCTGATATATTACAAGGCTCTGGGCAGTTTTACATCAGTTCCACATCACTATTTAATAGCTAATTGCGCACCACCTCTTATAGTATATGAAATCACATGCTGGTATTTATATTACATATTTAGAGCTAAAATACATACTGTTCCCTTTGGATAGTGCTGCACTTGTGTGTAAAATGGCAGTTAATAGATGAAGCAAAAGTGAAGATCATTTCATTAAACATGCAGACACACAGAGAGAGAGAGAGAGAGAGAGAGAGAGAGAGAGAGAGAGAGAGAGAGACATTAGGAACTTATATTCCATAAGGCACTTTGAAAGTAGCATATTGGCTCCCCCTAGTGTAAGCTCTAGTGCTTTTCAGCTGTAATTCCTTAATTCACTGTTTTTTCCTTTTCATTATTCTAAACAAGCCCCTCCTCACTTTATTTATTTATTTATTTAAAATATTCATCTTTTCTTCAGAATATTACTGTGGACAATCAAGTAACCAGTCCTAATAACAGATTCTAGGATCAACTGCTTTGTTCATTTATTTTTGTTTATGGTTATGGTTAGGCAGCTTTTGTTGACAGAATACTCTTTAGAAACACAGTATTTTTGACTTGATAAAGATGACCAATCATAATATGACCAAGTAAAAAAACTGATTTCACTATTTCCTTAGCTTTATTTATGGGGGCTATATGTATATTCCTATCACGTGTGTCCTTTTAAGTAGGTCAGCAGTTACAGGTACCTTTTAAGAAAACTAAAAGCACAATTTAAGAGGATTCTTTTCTCCCAAGGATTCAAAATTAAGTCATAATGCTGGTTTCACTTTATCATATCATACATTTTTTCCAAGACCTGGTCATAAACTAGATTTAGAGTCTTTGCCTTGAAATATAGCAGCCCCTGAGTGAGTGAGTGAGTGAGTGAGTGAGTGAGTGAGTGAGTGAGTGAGTGAATAAGTGCTATTGTGCAGATTGAGGGGACAGTGGTGAAAATAATGACCCAGACACCTAAACTAGGTACACCAGAGTTCTTCATTTGGCATGTAAGGTGGGAATGCAACCCATTTCAGATTCTGCCTAAGTGCAGGAATTCCTTCTAAGTCCTCTTGTAGGCATTGAGGAGGTGAGCCGCTTCACTCTGGACTAGGATGGCATCCACCTGTCACCTAGGTTACAGATCAGCGTAAAGGGTGAGGGGGACTTGCTGTGTCACCTCCACGCAATACTATCCAACACCAGGTAGGTGGAGCAGGTGAGGTCCCAAAGGCAAACCATACTCCACATGGGCTGGCTACACAGCCCATGAGCAGCCAGCCTCTGGACTTGCCAGTTACCATAAATGTGCCTGAGAATAGCTTATCAAAACCTGTTCCTCTCTGATTCCCACACATTCCAGGCAATAACCAAATCCACCTAATTAATTAATTGGCTCTTTTCTAATGCCAAATGAAGTAGACAGAATAAAGCTGCCCAGTAGAGCCCATCTATGAGCAGGTAAACATTCCTGTTCAGCCCCACTAAGGGAGAAACTGGCTAATCCTTACTGGTAGGGAAGACAGGTGGAAGCTAGGAAGAAGAGAGGTCAAGATTTGGGACAGAGTGGGCTTCTGCAGCACTGCTCCAGCCCCTGCACCAAAAGCAAGCATCAGCCTGCTCTTGCCAGTGTGCCATTTGTATCTCCCTTCTCACCCATGAAGTTCTTCTGGCCAAGGCATTCCACCCACGTAGGATACAGTCTTGACTGTAAAACTGAGCCTCAATTAAATTCCAGTAAAGAAAGAAAGCACCAAAATTTTGAATCACTTACAAAAATGTTTAATATCTATTTTATGCACCTACTTTATTGGGGTACAAATTCATTTGGTGTATTAGATTACTTTTGACAGAACATAAGGGAAATATATTTCGGTTCCCTTCCAAAAAGAGCAGTGTGCAATTTAAATTGGCATTGTTATCATCTCATTATTGTACTTGATACATAGACCTGAAATGCAGTCTAACTTCTCACTTGCTCTGTCTGCTTTCAATTATCAAATCCTGGCTTAATAAGCCAAGTTATGTATAAGTTTTGTATTCCTGCAAGCAACCCCTTTGCTACAGCTTTGTTCCTCTCATTGCATAAACCAAGCGCAAAGCAAGTAAAGAAACCAGGAAGCTGCAATTAGCGACAGTCAAAGTTTAATGTTGATTTCTGAATGTAGCTTGTTTGGAAGAGATTAACCATAGTTCGGATTTGCATGTAATGGGAAACTGTAGCTAGCTGCGGCTTCCTGGTATTTTTTATTACATGTGGAAGAAGGTACGAAGCAGCAGCAAAGCAACTCTGTGTGGGGGCATTGAGTTTGTGTATAACTTTTCTTATTAAGACAGATTTCGATTATCAGAACATAGGAAGGATATTGATTTAGATCAAGGGTGAGCAGTTTGTGGTCCTCCAAATGTTTTGACTTATGACTACTGTCATTTCTTATCATTGGCTATGCTGATTAGGGATAATATAGCCCATAGGCTAAAATATCAGGACAATAATTTCCCTACCTCTGATTCAGACTTTTAATGCAGCCAGCCTCCAAATACCTATGATGCGGCTGCACAGCAAAATAAATCTCTTCCCAATCTGGCTGGAGCATACTATACGATCAGCTATTGCAGGTTTGATCATGCTTTATTTCTCAACATATTTTTTAAACTCTTAAGTATCATTCACTGAATGGTGTTCATGATATTGCCCACAGTATTCATCAATAATGGAGTGCTGTCATGGGACTGAAGAATTCCTTATTTGAGCTCTGGACAAAGATAAATGCCAGAGATGAAAGCAAAATGTTGTGACACCTTAAAAGCCAACAAATAAACCTATTGCTATTTTAAAGTGCCCTGACATTTTTGGTTGTTTACAGTTCTCAACTTGATTTAAAAGTATTACTACTAAAATTTTAGCTTTTACTGTAAACACTTTCCCACATGTCCCATCCCTTGGGCATCAAGAGATCATAAACAAAGCTTCAGGAGAGGGTGGTTTAGACATTTTCTATTTTCATTTCCATACTTTTTAGCTATCCAAAGAGGTAAATTTTGAAAAACAAAAATGCAAGTGCATCATACAGCTGCACATAATTATTTATTAGATATACTAAAATGTGTACTGATGTTACAGTTTTGTATATTAACTCTAAAGGTCTTGTGACAGTTCTGGCAAGACTCAAGAGTTTTCTCTGTGAACCTTGTCATGTTTTTTCATCATTATGTGCTGAATAATATGATTATAAAGAGTCCATGAAGCTAGTAATTATGGCTGTACATAAAACGGCTGCAGAAGTTTTCTTGCCAGATAACAAGCAGAGAATGAGAAATGTGGAGAAACTGTCTGCCAAATGGGAAGTAATATCAGCTAACTGTGCCAATACTGGAAGACAACAGATGTAATACTTTAGTAGTGCAATTTCCACTACCAACTTAGAATCCTTTGCCATGCATGCAGTCTAACTAGATAATACTCAGTAAGTCTGTTAATTCTGGTCAGTGGATTGTGTACATAGATGTTTCTCGATCTCATTTGACCAGAAGACTGGTATCTTTATGTTCAGGGCAGTTCTGGAAGGTCAGACTTCCATACAATCACCTTTAAACATGATAAAAAGCTTGTGACAGCTTCAAGACTAAGAGGTTTCTTCTGTTATAAGCTTTCATGTATTTTTGTGACTTGTATGACACCCAATTAGTCACAAAGCTCTCTGACAACAACATGTTATGCAACAATTAAAACAATACAATTTGTAATCCATTTAACTATTCATGATAATGCATTTTCTGGTTGAAGGTGAAGGATGTTGATACTGGTGGATGACTAATTTGTGTGTGTCAAACTACTGGGAGGGATGAAAACCCTAGATTCTAAAAGATGGTGATCTTGCCAGTTAAGCTAATATTTCTGTAGAGAGGAAGAGGGGATAGAAGGATAAAATTCAGCTGTAAGAACATGATGTAAAACATCCAAGCAAATTGTGGACCTTGAAGGAGCAAATATTTATGGAAAAGAAGCCTCCACCCATCCTCCCTCCCTCCCTCTTTCTCAGTGCATGTGTGGTTCTCAGTTTTTTTCCTGGTAATTTTGCCTCCCTGCCCTATAACCCTTTCAGTGATTGTTGCTCTGTCTGTCTTATTCTTCTCTTAAAAAACAATTAAGTGTCACAAAACCACAATCCTAGGCTAGGAAGCCTTGCCAAAAAAACAAAACCAAAAACCTGTCTAGCACAAACAGCCACAAGAAATATCCTAACAAACACATGAATTAAAATGACACAACAGAGTGATTTGCTCTTTATTCCATAGAGACTGCATTATGCTCTGCTGCTTGAATAGTGGCACAAGCTTTGTGGCTGGTTTTGCCATCTTTTCTGTCCTCGGCTTTATGGCTTATGAGCAGGGTGTGCCCATCGCAGAAGTTGCAGAATCTGGTAAGTCCTAAAAGACTTATTTAATAGATAATGTTATAATCTAGCTATACTTTGTGCCTGCAATTTTAGTTCGCCTATAAAGTACTGACCTGCAGAATTTTCAGAGCAGGATGAGGAAGATAGCCATGAAAAATACAGCCTGAGACACCCTGCTCTGTTTGTTTGTTTATTCATTTTTTTAATATACCATTCTTATAGCCAGAATTGGCTCTCTGAACAGCACTTGCTGCTCAAGCCAATACAACTCAGGTTGCACAAGTGCACTGAAAAGGAACTGAATGAAATCTTGGGGGAGGGCAGGAAAGGGAATAGAATATCCATCAGGTTTTCACCCTCCAAATGCAATTCTCACACTTCCCTAGTTAAACTCACCCTTGTACATCCATAAATCGTCTCCCTCCCACCAGCTCCCTTCCTTCCACCAATTCTTAAACCACCCTTGTTTCTCCTCACCCCAACTAAATGATTGCTGCTGGCAGTCCAGGGGCTGTGGCAAGCCAAAGGAAGAGAAGGTAGCTTTTTCCCATCTAGTACCTACTGTACTGTTGTGTAGTACATCAGTCAAAAATAGCCCAGCATCTTGCATACAGATTTACAGTGCACCGAGCAAATGTAGTCCCTGGGACTATTATTTATTTATTATCCCTAATTAGTCAAAATAACCATCATATGTTATATAACTATGGTTTATATAATTAGTTATGTTAACTATATACTATTTAATACTTTATAGCATATAATATTAAATAGTATACTATTTATACTATTATACTATTAACTATTATACTATGGTTAATAATTGATAAAAGTTACTATAGCCAGCTAACATGGAATCTTTCATAAATGCTTGCCTTCATATTAGCCAAAAGAAAGTTCTATTTTCCCTCTTTCTACTCAACTTTCAGAGATTTTTGACATTGCAGAAAGTGTTGTGATCAGGAAACATTAGCTACTCTGCTTCCTCTTGTCCCTTAATTTCCTGAAGTCCAGTGCTAGCCACAGTCACTACTCCTGAAATATGTGATCCATAACAATAAACCACACTCTCCATAAATCTTATTAAGTCACTATTCATAGTTCTCATAGTAATGTAGTCATTCCACTTCTGCCTCAGTGACTCCTACTTTATGTCAAACTGTCAACATAATACTATTGACACAATAAATCTATATTACTAAAATATATACAATTCTTGATTATTTTCTTTTTCAGGACCTGGACTTGCTTTTATTGCTTATCCAAAAGCTGTAACAATGATGCCTCTTTCTCCATTGTGGGCAACTTTGTTTTTCATGATGCTCATATTTCTTGGATTAGATAGTCAGGTATGGATAAAAATGACTTTGAAAAAACACAATGTAAATTAGGCTAAATTGAACTGAGTTTTAAGTGAGCAAGAGGATTTTGCGGAAATGCAATTGCCAATTTAGTATTACTGAACTGTTGCTTCCTGTGCTTCCAAGGGTAAAGTCAAATAGAAATCTAAATTGTCGAATCAGATAGCTTATATTTCCATTGTGTAGAAAAGCAAAAATGGCAGAAAGAGAATAATTTATACAAATCATGAAAAAACAGAGGAAACAATAGGAGGTGTTTTAGACTCTGCTCAATAAAGGATAAAAAAAAGGACTGGAGTACTGATCCAACTGCTGCAAAAGGAATATAGTAGGATTTCCAGCTTCCCAACCCTAACCCTAACAGCTTTCATCTTCAGCTACTCATTCCCCTATTCCAAATAGTCTGCTTCTCCTATCCCGGTACTATTCTGATACAGAAGTATCTGGCTTCTTGTTTATGCCTGCAAGTGCCTTGCAAGTTCTAATTTAGAAAATAACATCCAGTCTGTTTGCTTTAAACATATATATATTTATATATGAGAAACTTTTCAAAGCAGGTGGAAGAAGGATAAATATCTTGATATTAGAAATATTTAAAGGATTGTTATAGAAGTATGTATTACATTCCTGAACTCTGCAATTGCCATCATTTTATATTGTCCAAAATCTTGAACAGTATAGCATGTTGCTTATTTATTTACTGTATTTCTATACTGTTCCACATCCAACTGGATTCTGAAGTGGTAAACAGTAGGAGGGGAAAGCAAATAAAGGAATAAAAATAATCCATAGAACATTTTAAAACAAAGCAAAAAATATTAAGAGCATGACTGCCCAGAATGAGATTCTATCTAGCAGGTACAAAAATTTCACAGTGTTTGTTCCTGGGATTTCCTTCTGCAGCAGGAAATTCCACAGAAATGGGGCCTCCACACAAAGGGTCATCCTGTGATGCTCTTTGGTCAGGCCACAAGCATCAGGAGAATGTGCTGTGATGTTCAGTCACAGCACTGGTTAATACGGAAAAAGGCACTCTAGTAGGTATCCTGGTTCCAAGTTGTTCAAGGTTTTGCACACTAGTGCTAAAACTTTAGACTTGCCAGTGTAGTGGATCAGTAACTATTGGAGCCTTCAGCAAAGGAGGTACATGCTGAAAAGAGGCAGCTCCTGATAACAGCCAAGCTGCTACATTCTGCACTTAGCTCTAGCCTTAAGGGCAGCCCCACATAGAGCATATTGCAGCAATCCAGTCACCAGTGCCTGCATCACAGTAGCCAAGCAATCCCTGTCCAGGAGAGGCAAACTATTTGGAGATGGTAAAAGACACTCCAAGCCACTGCAGTCAGTTAGGGCTCCAGTGCTGGCAGCAGATCTAAAGGCGCCCCTGGACTAGAAGCTGATCAAGGGAGGGCAACCCCATCCGGAACAGGTAATAAATTTATCACCCAGTCTTGGGAACAGGGCTTCTGTCTTTCTACTAGGATTCAAATTCAGTTTATTAGCCCACATCCAGTCCCTCACTGAGTCCAGACATGACTCAGTAGTCACAAGGAGACAGAGCCGCATATCACCAAAACACAGATGGCTCTTGACTCCAGATCCCCCAGTGACTGCTCCCAGCAGCTTCCTAAGATCAAAACTACTGTAACACAGTGCCTCCAATGCCTAGCCCACTGGATCAATCCAGAAGGATACAGTGGTGAATAGCATCAAAAGTTGATGAGAGAGCAAGGCAAACTAGCAGGGCTGTACTCCCCTGTCTCCCTCCTGAGAAAGCTCAACCATCAGGACAACCAAGACAGTGTGAAAACAGAGACTGAAATGATAGTGAGAAGATGGGGAGTATCCTCCAGGAGTGCCTGCAGTTGGTCTGCCACACCTTTCTTGTACCTTTCCTTTAAAAAGGGCCGTTTGCTCCTGGGTAGTAGGTATCAAATACTGTTGGGTCCAGAGTAAGTATTCTCAGGAGCGGTCGCAGTGCTGCCTTCTTGAGAACAGCAGGAACCATCCCTTCACTGAAGGAGGTGTTTACTGCTTCATGGACTCACCCAGTTTAACCCCTCAGGTAGCTTTTATCAGCCCAGAAGGCAAGGAACAAGAAAGCACATGGTCAGTGGTACTGTGGCGAGCACTTTCTTATTAAGGACTCCGTTAACTAAAATGAATCCCACAACATTGAACAATGGTGGCATGAGACACCTCAGCTAGAGCTACACTAACAAAGCATAATAGCTAAAAGAGATGTATCAAGAAATCACTAGTTTGGATCTCACCTCTTTGGCTTAAAAGCATACAGCAACCTACTTCTTTATAAGCAAAATTACTTATCCATGCTTCCAGTAATTTTACTATTTAAATACTGATAATAGCAGTAAAGGGACATGAGTGGCAAGGGCAATATGGTATGAACTGAAGGGTACCAGCCTCAATTTTAGAATTGACCTAAGCACACACAGCCCTTTAAAAACCGTTAGAATTTTGCCAGTCAATTGGATGGTTGGAATTCAAGGGACTATTGGCATGATACCTTGGCTGCTGGTTGAAAAGTGGGAAATGTAAAGTCAGCAGCTTCTTCATCCAGGTAGACACATATATGGATAGCCTAGCTGGATTGAAGCAGTGACTTGAAGATCAGGAAAAGTATTAACATTTTTGAGGACTGCAGTAGAGTTGGAGTGGACAAGGGAAACATAAGTTGAAATCTCTTCTAAGAACCTTAAAGTCATTGTCTTGAGCATCTTACTGCTTCTCTGATTATTTGTAAGACACAGTTGTTATGCAGTGCAATGCCTAATGCAGCACTCTGCTGTGGAATATTGTCATGAAGGAAATCATTCAGGATTCACTACTTTGAATCTTTTGATCCTTTTTCTATAAAAAAACAAGGTGATGTATAATCTATGAGAACATTATTAGTAAAACAGTGCTGTGCACTTTAAACATTAAAATGACAATTAAAACATGGCAGTCCTTTGGCTCCCAGACAATATCTAGATGGACACAAGATTTTTGGATTCCTAGCTACAAAGTTGGAAAATTACTGAGACCCCCATCTCCCCTGTTTCTCCAAGGTCATAACAGCAACCTTGGAGAAGAGCTTTGGGGGACATTCTAGGTTGTGGAAGAACAATGGTGCCAAGATATGGTGGATCCTGACATCCAGTGTAGTGTGGTGGTAAGAGTGTTGGACTGGGGACATGGAAGATCCAGGTTCTGGTCCCCACTCAGCCATGAAGCTCACTCGATGATTTATAGCCAATCACTCATGCCCAACCCATCTCACAGAATGGTTACGGGGAGGATAAAACAGAGTGGAGCAGGTCTATGTAAGCTGCCTTGAGTTTCTCACAGAAGGAAAAAAGGCAGGATATAAATGAAGTGTGGTAGTAATAATATCCTGGCGGTGTCTCATCTGCCTTCCATCCCACTCCAAAGTGAGCCATCAAACCACTTAGTGGTTCTATTAACCACTTCCTCTCTGCTTTCCTCCCCACTTGCGTAGGATGCCCATAATAATTTAACAATTTCAAGAGTTAAATTTTAATGCCAAAACCAGATGGCATTGTCACAGTCGCAACTGTTATGCAAGAGGTTCTTGCCAGATAGCTTAAGAGTGCACCCAATTCTTTCAGTACTTTGTATGCTGATGCCTGCAAAATTTTACAAAGAGTGATCAACTGGAAGTTTGGAGGGTGATATGGCACCTCTTTCTCTCATCTGCTACAAAGAATTACAGAATATGTTGGCACTATAGGAAAAAAGGAACTCAGTAAAGGCTCTATATATGATGAAGGTATAAATGATGCAAAAGTGATAAAGCAATGTTGTACACTGAAAGTGCTAAAGAACTGAAACTTTATGTGCCTTTTTCTGCACTTGTTTTGTTCTGCAGTTTGTCTGTGTTGAAAGTCTTGTGACAGCTGTGGTAGATATGTATCCAAAGGTTTTCCGGAGGGGATACAGACGAGAACTGTTGATTCTTGCTCTTTCAATTGTGTCATTCTTCCTTGGTCTAATAATGTTAACAGAGGTAAGACAGATTGATATTTTTCAGAGTTGTGAACCAGAATCCATCCTTTTTTAAATCAGAAATTCTAGGCAATGGTATTGGAGGACTGATAAGATATTGGAACAACAAAATACTGATAAGATTTGTGACAAAGTATTTGAAAGCATTACAGTGTCTCCTCAGTGGTACCACAGAGTTGGAGTGTTTCAGCAGAGTTCCTTGTATTTTGCTAGGGAACTGCCTTCTAAGCTAGTCACCCCTGCTATCTGATGTATAGAAACACAGAAAAGGTTATCTTTGGGTTTACTATGAGAAATATACTGAAGAAATTAGTAGCTTGAATGCTATAATCGTATAATTGCTTGCTACATAGAAATTATAGGTTTTTGGAAAAATTGATAAATGTATACTTAATCATCAGCTTGAAAAGGACTATGATTATGATTAATACTAAGCATTCTTGTATTACATTTCTTTACCACCCAATAGTCAAAGTTCTCTGGGCAGTTTACAAAGATTAAAACCTTTAAATTACATTGTAAATCCATGTACATGCAAGTTTAGACAGCACACAAAGATACAGATGTATCTAAAAAAAATTAAATGGTCAAGAACAGGAAAACCCAACCTCATCATATCCTTTCAAATGCCTAAGAAAAGAGGAAGGTCTTAATCTGACATGAAAAAGATAAAAATGTTGGTGCCAGGCATGTCTCATTGAGGAGATCATTTCATAATTGAGGAGCTACCACCAAGAACTCCCTCTCCTTAACAATATTACAGGTAGGTTCATGCTGGAAGACATGCTTCACCAGGTATTGTGGTCCTAAGCTGTGTAACATGTTACAGGTCAAAACAAGCCCTTTGAATCAAGCTTGGGAACATACAGGCAACCTGTGTAAGTGAAACAGAGTCCATGAACTGCAGCTTCTAAATTTATGTTTTAGATGAGGAGTCCATTGAAGTATTCTAATCTGCAGATTACCCAAACATAAACAACTTAAACCAAGTTAACCCCGTCCAGACCTGGGCATACATGGGCCACCAGCTGAAGCTAGTAGAAGGTCCTGCCCGAAGTGACAAAGATAGCTTCAGGAAAGCTCCCAAGCTACAAACCTGCTCCTTTGGGAGTTGCATATCACCTGTCAGAAGACCCACACTATAGAACACTTAGTCTTATCTGGGCTGGGTTTCAGTTCATATGTCCTCATCCAGTCTGTTGTCTCAACCAAACACTGATCTAGCATAACCACAGCTTCCTCTGATGAAGGTAAAAAGGAAATATAGAACTGCATGCTATCAGTCTATTGATGTCACACACTCCAGATGACCCTGCTCAGTGGTTTCACTGACCTGTTGAACAGCATGTGGAACCCCATACTGGAGAATCCACAGGGCTGAGAATATTCCCCAAGCACAACTTTCTGGAGTTACCTATCAAAGGATGAGTGAAACAAACGCAATGCAGTACCTTCCACCACTAGCTCAGACAGTTGTTCCAGAAGGACGCCATGGTCAATGGCATCAAAAACCACAAAGAGATCAAGGCAGATCAACATGATCACACACACCCTCCTCTCTGCCTGCCTGGGTCATCATACAGGGGTAACTAAAGATGTGTCCATGCCACACTCTGGCCTGAAAGCCAACTAAAATGTATTAGATAATTAGTAGTACCTAAAACCATACGGAGCTGGTTAGCAACTGTTTGCCCAAGGACATTGTCTAGGAAAGGTACATTACCACCAGCAAAAAGTTGAGTTATTCTGGGTCCCAGGAGGGTTTCATCAGGTGTGGCCTGACCATAACCTCTTTCAGGTGGTCAGGAACCACTTGCTTTTGCAAGGAGATATTAATCACCTGCCTGGCTCAGTCAGCTGTTCCCTTCCTGCCAGTTTTTATAAACCAAGAGGGGCAAGTATCCAGTATCGAAGTGATTGTACCAACCTGTCAAAGCACTTTGTTGACATCCGTTAGTGAAATCCATCCAAAAACCAAGCAAGCCTGTGGGAGACATTGGATTTGGATAACCCACTGATTCAGCTGCTTTTGTATTTGCCAGGAGTCTGTGTCCTGGTGAATACAAGAGATTTCTGCTGGAAGTGCCTATCAAATATACTACAGCAGACATCACGACAGATGAGCTGAATCCTTAGGGGCAGCATGCAACAGGCCCCAGACGACTCTGAAAAACAACACTGAATGGCACACAGAAGATTCAACAGAGGTGACAAGATGTTGTTTCTTTGCCACCCTTGCTGCCCCTGCATTGAAGTGGACATTGGCACACACCACTTGCCTCCACTAGTTCAGTTGCCTCCACTAGGAGTTACTTTCCATCTGCACTCAAGCTGTTTTCCTTTTTGTCTCATTGCTTTCAGCTCTGGAGTGTACTGTGAAACAATATTAGCTGCACTCTGGAGAGGCCATGTGAACAATCATGTGAACTCCCCAGATCGTTTCTGCATTCCACAGTTCTACCAAGATTTCAACAGAATAGGCAGCCATACTGGCCAGAAACCTTCCCAGAGCCCTCTAGATCATTAGTCTCTGCAGCAGACCATCTTAATAATCCCTGCAAACTTGCAGAGGGCAAAGGTACCATAAGTCTAAACTGCAGCAAGCAATGATCTGACCATCAGAAAGGGACTTAATCAACGTCCCCTATCTTCAAATCATCACCACCATGTCAAGTTGAAAAAAATCAAGTCTAGAATTGCCTTGCCATATATGCAGGGCCAGTGACATGCTGGGACAGTCCCATGATTGTCATGGAGACCATGAAGTCTTGAACTCTCCAGACAAGGTGCCCTGAGCATGAACGTTGACATCCTTCCAGAACCAACAGTCGGGGGGAGAGGGGAATTCAGTAGCACATCGAAAGCCACCTCTATCAGCTTGGATAGGACTGTTGAACAACCGAGTGATGGTGCACCAGTTGAATCTGCCCTCTATCCCACTGATACAAAACAAGGTGCAAAGAGGCCAATAGTCAGATGGACAGAGTGTCTTCAGAGGAAGATAGAATTCCTGTAGCTCACAGCAACCCCAACCCTCCAGCCCTCAGGTGTACCTTTTTACTAAAACCAGTACTCTAGTGGGCACAAATGAGAGAGACTATCTCTTCCCTGCTCACCCAACCCAGGTCTCAGTTGTCGCTGCCAGCTTAGTTCTTAGATGTCAATAAAACAGTGCCTAGGAATGAAATATGAAGGATGGCATTCAAATCAGACATAATGTACATTCTCTTGCATATCACTCCTATTTTCTTTATATAGTAGACAGTGCACACCTTAGTCTGAGTAAAAGTACCCTTGGAAAGGAAGTTGTTGTTTTTTTCTCTCCTACATTTTACAATCTCATCAAATAATTGAAAGGCAGGAAAAATAGGAGCCCTGAATATCTCCAAAATACTGTAAGTTCTGTGATGGTTAGAAAATGAAACTTGGAGTGTGTGGAGTTCTGGAAAAGAAGCCCCAAAAACAAGGAAATAGTAGAGGGACTATGTGAGAATTAGGGGGAGTATATCTCATCTTTTCATCACAAAATCTTGAAACAAATCATAATGGATGGAACAAATGATCAATGAATTCTGCAGTAAATTAAATGCTATACAACTTAAGTTTTATAGAATAAGGTTTTCTCTTGATTTCTAGCAAAAGATTCTCACCCCACCCCCAAATATTTCCAAGGTTTCCATGAAAATATAAATTAATTTCCATTCAGGATTAGGCTTGCAGGATGGCTTTGTACCCCCTGGGTGGTTTCACAGTGTAATGTTACCCCATGTCTTTGCCACATATACATAGCTACAAACCAGTTCTTTGGTTGTGGAAACCAGGTTTTTGCTCTGATTATAAGGGCCCAGAAATACAGTCTAGAGTTGTGCACTACTGTGTTTGCCCGAAAATAAGACCAGGTCTTGTATTAATTTCTGCCTCCAAAAGATACATTAGGGCTTATTTTCAGGTGATGTCTTATTTTTTCTTACAAAAGCTGTAAGATTTTTGCCCTGAGAGTCCTCCACGATCCCTTTCTTGTACTTGATGGAATAGCTCTTTCTTTTTGCACTCATCTTGTCTGGGGGTCAAAATATTATTCCCTTTAAATCTGCTATTAAATCAAGTGGCAACGAGATAGGAGTGACAACACATGAGTGCATTAAGTACATCCGTTACAACACACGACGCATTGAATTATGAAACACGTCTGTTCTCAAGTGCGCACATTATTCATGTGTTGTATCTGTACTCCAATTGGTCATTCAGCAATGAGTCTCGGGTTCATCTGTTTGCATAGGCGTTTACCTCTCATTCAAAGGTGCCTGCTTGGGTATTTACAAATACTTAATTATAATTTATATTATCATTTATTTTAAGTATCAATGTCAATATTATTTATATTTAATTATATATTAATATTATTTCATAATTCAATATGTCCATCGTGTGTTGCAATGGACGTACTAAATGTGTCCGTCTGGCTGATGATCTTAACGGGCTTATTTTTGGCATAGGGCTTATATTACAAGCATCCTGAAAAAAATCATGCTAGGGCTTATTTTCTGGTTAGGTCTTATTTTTGGGGAAATAGCGTATATATTCTCCAAGCTTTGAAGGAAATTCTACTTGTCTCCCTGTAAATTTTGTAATCTCAGAATAAGGCACAGTCTCAAATAAAACGAAACATTGGATTTGTTTAGGCTTAAAGTTGATGGTACTGCTTGACATTAGCTAGTAAGTATATTTCGTTTCCTCAATTCTATTTTCCAGAATGGATTCACACCATCTTATTATTACTTTTGTACTTCCTCAGTCACTTTCGATGGACTGAAGGAGAATATAAAGTGCTCAAAAACACACTATGAAGTGAGCTGCTTCTGCTTTTGCTTGGAAGTATATAGAGTACAATCTGCAACATACACTCAGCAATATAAATCAAGTTGCAGTATGTATCATGAGCCAGCAAATGGCACTGTTGTCCTACATTTTATCATGTAAAGCTCTTCATTTAAGGTCTTTCCAAAAAAATCCCAGTGAGACTCAGTGAAAAATTCACTTCTGCTCAGGAGCCATGCAATGTGCACTCCTTTAGTGTGTAATTTATTGGGTGTGCTTTAAAGCAATTTTGTGGTGAAATGTATTTTACCTTAGAGCGTGGAAACAGGTCAGCTGTCAAGAGGCCTTGGTTAATATCTCAGAAGATGACTAGTATACTATTAAATATTTCTGGACCAAACTTATTGGTGAAGATTAGCCACCCAAGGAGCTTTGACCAAGGGGGCGGGACAGGGTCTACAAAAGTAATAAATAGATAAAAATATACTTTTGACTAGGAAACTTTATAGCATCCCAAAGCCCCTCTCCATGGACAGTACACTCAAACACATCTGGGCCAAGCAAAATGCTTATAAGAAATCTTACTGGCTTATATTATGAGAGATAACAATGCCAGCAGCTAAGTGACCCAGCTGTGCATCATCACTCTGCAACTCATATTCTGCTCAGGGAATATGGGTTGCATGCGTATTTGTCCCTTTCACATAGCCTTCCATCGGGACGGACTAAAGTAAATGTTCTCTCAGAAACATAGAAACAGACCGAGTCAGAAGGGGTCTCCCGGGCCATCTAGTCTGACCTCTGGCACTAGCCGACTCTGCTCATGACATGCCCACCATGTGGACGTCCAGCCTATCCTTGAACAGCTGCACCGATGGGGCCTCAACCACCTCCCGGGGAAGCCCATTCCACACCCTCGGGGACCTAACTGTCAGGAAGTGCTTCCTGGCGTCTAAAGGGACCTTGGCTCCCAGAGCTTTGCTCCGTTGGAGCGCGTCCTCCCTTCCTCTGCAGGGGAGAACAGGTCTCTACCCATCTCCATGTGACATCCCCTCACATACCTGTATGTCGCCAACATATCCCCTCTGAGTCTCCTCTTCTCCAGGCTGAAGAGACCCAGTTCCCTCAGTCTCGCCTCATACCTCGTCCCCTGCAAACCGGCTACCAACCTTGTGGCCCTGCGTTGCACTGACTCCAACCTGACTATATCCTTTCTGTAATGAGGGGCCCAAAACAGAGCACAATACTCCAGTTGTGGGCGCACCAGAGTCATATAGAGTGGTAGTAATACCTCTCTCAATCTAGAAGCCACACTTCTGGCTATGCAACCAAGGGTGGCGTTCGCCCTCTTGACCACCGCATCACACTGCTGACTCATGTTTAGCCTGCAGTCAACCAGTACCCTGAGGTCCCTTTCACAAGTGCTGCTCTCCAGCCACTTGTCCCCTAACCTGTACTTACGACACCCATTCCTATGCGCCAAGTGCAAGACCTTGCATTTATCCACATTGAACGCCATCCTGTTGTCTCCTGCCCACTTCCATAGTCTGTCCAGATCCTTTTGGATCTGAAATACCTGCTCCTCAGTTGTGGCCACTGCTCCAGTTTTAGTGATCAGCAGATTATTCACCCCTCCTTTCATGTCATTTATGAAAAGATTAAACAGGATCAGCCCCAGGACAGAGCCCTGGGGGACCCCACTTGTCACTGGCCACATTCCGATGATTCCCCACTAATGGTTACCCTCTGCTTTCAGTCAGTCAACCATGCCCTAATCCACTGGACAGTGCTTTGGTGTATCCCAAAGCTCCTCAGTTTCTCCACCAGGATATCATGGGGCACTTTGTCAAAGGCCTTGCTGAAATCCAGGTGTACCACATCCACTGCATCCCCTCCATCTAGCCATCTCGAAACCTTGTTGTAGAATTCCACAAGGTTTGTCTGGCAGGACCTGTTTTTGTGGGAGCCGTGTTGTGTGGCTGTCAGCCTCCCTTCCCTATCTAGCATCACTGTGTGGCTGTATACTTAGCCAAGCAACAGCCAGGAGGATTTGAGTTCTAGGCTCCACCTGGCTGTGAAGCTCACTGGGTGTCTTTGAGCCAGTCACGCTTCTCTGCCTAACCTACCTCACAGGGTTGCTGTTGTGGAGAACTATGTAAACTGCCTTGTATGCCTCACAAGAGGAAAAATGGTATAATAGAAATGCAGTGTAATGGTGGTGGTGGTGGTGGTGGTGGTGATACCCAGTAAAGGTTTTCTTTAACACAATGTATATTCAATTATTTTTTTAATTTAAATCTGCCCTTAGTACTTGAGGTACTGTGCCCATACTGTAGTATGGGTAGTGCCCATACTGTAGTTCCCCTTCAGGTGTCTGTGATCTCCAAAAAGTGGAGGTAACATTGGAGGCTTGCTGGGAATGGAGGGTCAAGGAAATTTCATGAACTTCTCTCCATTCAAGTACAAAAGAATCAGAGCCAGCATATGTTGGAATCCAAAAGTCATCATAAGCTTAAATGTAGCCACCTAAATCCATCCCAAATAAATGTTTAATGGGCTAGAATACTTCTGAAAATAGTATAAGGCTTTAGAGGATCTCCAACTGGGAAAATTCTGTTTTGGCTGCAGCATGTCATTGTCATCACCTTCTTCCTTTTCATTGTCTTCTCTTCCAGGGAGGGATGTATGTTTTCCAGCTGTTTGACTCTTATGCAGCCAGTGGAATGTGCCTTCTTTTTGTTGCTATATTTGAATGTATCTGCATTGGCTGGTTTTATGGTGAGTCAACGATTGGTGTTACATTGATGGCTAATTTTGAAATCATATGCTGCATTTCGAGGCCTGCTCTTAGAATGATTTAATTGGTTATTACAGTTATTTATACTTGGTCTTTAGGACACCAATGGAAAGAAACTTGCTAGCCACATAAATTTATATTAATAAAATCACAATGAATAATATATACAGAAGAATCCATCAGGATAGAATACTCACTTTACTGAGGAAGGTCCCGGGTTTAACCTGTAGCTTCTCAAGAAGGGCTGGGACAGAATCCTGCTGGAAGAAACCCTGGAGAGCTGCTGCCAGTCAGTGTTGACAATACTAGGCTAGATAGGCCAGTGGTCAGACAATGTCTCCAGAAACAGTCATTTGAGCTGGGGCATTAGACCTGGACCCATGTGCATCCCATGTCCCTTTTGTTCTATATAGGAAGCAATCGCTTTTATGACAACATTGAAGATATGATTGGGTACAAACCCCTAGCATTGATCAAATGGTGTTGGATGCTGCTCACTCCTGGCATTTGTGCAGTAAGTAATAAAAGTGTCTTTAAAATGTTATCGTAGTCTCAAAGTTCTTGGCAAGACCTTCTGTCTTACGTTTTGTAGAAATTATTTTGCAGAAATAGACAATCCTCAAGGTGTACATATGTATTTATAAAGAAGTACACCTCCAAAAATGGGCAAAATGGTTTCATACTTATCTCAAGTTTTAAAAATCAGCAATCTCTTCAAATGATTTAATGCAAAACTGATAAAACCCTATCAAGTTCTCACAACATATGTTATGTGTTTAGGTATTCATTATACTTCATTATTTATTTTCAGTTCCAGTAGTCCCTATATTTTCTTTCCTTTGATCCTAATACAACCTCCTGCAGACACAGGTGAATGCTGGCATCTTTAAATAGGATGGCATATTGATTTTCATGCCCCAGTGACACTGTGAATACAAAGTGTCTATCATAAACCCCTATGCAGGCATTATAGAACCAATGGTATCCTATTGTGTTTTTCCTTCTCCCAAGAGTGAATTCAAATGAATCGAGGTCTGGATTCCCCTATGTGTGGCATTTCCTGCACAGCCTTGTTTTTTTGTGAGCCCACATGCTTAGCTGGCCCTCTCAGGCTTACTTACATTTAGTGCAGTGCAGTGGTTTCTCATGCTTACTCCAAAGCTTCTCCTGGAACTCTGGGGCCCTGTGATTCGTGGAAGAGATCCAGCTTATGTAGGGGGAGAAGCAGCAACTCCCTTATGTATGCAAAAGTGCTTTCCAGTCACAAGCAGCCAATATGGCTTTGCTGCACAGTTACCATTTGCCATTAAATTGAAAAGATGCAATTTCTATGGGCTATACGTAAAAGCTAATTGGGAATTAAATGTGAAATGTGATTTATTACTTTGAAAGGAAGAGAGGTTCGAATTGAATATGCCTTTGAGAGAAAAAAGACAATTGTGGCCTGCTTTCTATTTTCAAAGCTTAAGGCAGCATTTCAACTGACTGGGTCAAATGAGCTTCCTGAGCACTTGTTTTTTTCAAACATGGCTAATTTTTCCTCTCTATTTTAGGGCATCTTCATCTTTTTCTTGGTGAAATATAAGCCTCTGAAGTACAACAATGTATATACATACCCAGACTGGGGCTATGGCATTGGCTGGATGATGGCTCTCTCCTCCATGATTTGCATTCCTTTGTGGATCTGCATTAAATTCTGGAAGACAGAAGGAACCATGTTAGAGGTGATGTGTGTTTTTGTAACAATATTGCTTGATATAGCAGATGCACTTTTAAGTAAAGGACCCTGGAGGAAATCAAGCTGTATGAAGCACAGTCCTAAAAAAATGCCTATAATCAACCATTGAATGGACAAAATGTACAGATGTGGACTATACTCAGCTTAACCATTTTGGCTTTGCTTCGAAGATGAGGCACAGTGGTAACCATGAAGGAAATGACTTAGTGCATTGCATTGGCCATGAAGTTTCAGTGACTGATTCAGTGAAGGTTCAGCCACAACAGTCTTTAGACTTGACCGCCACCTTGATGCAGTTACTTCTGAGGCTGGGTGGCCCTTCACAGAAAACATTTCCTCACCCTTTGGCTAGGAGGTCATTGATACCGCCAAAATGAGCATACTGTTTGTTGTTAAGTGCCATCAAGAGATCTCACACACTATGATTGAGTGACCCTATGAATGAATGTTCTTCAATGTGTCCTACCTTTCCCAGCCCTGTTCAGCTCCAATAAACAAATGTACTATACAAAGAAGAAAACTGAAAATATGAGGGTAGTGGTTCCGCTCCTATCTCGATGGCCGGTTCCAAAAGGTGGTGCTGGGGGACTATGGCTCTGCACCATGGCAGTTATGCCATGGAGTACCGCAGGGGTCCATTTTGTCCCCCTTGCTGTTCAACATTTACATGAAACCGCTGGGAGAGGTCATCAGGAGGTGTGGGCTGCGGAACCATCAGTACGCTGATGATACCCAGCTCTACCTCTTGTTTTCCACCAATCCAGGTGAGGCAGTGGCTGTACTGAACCGGTGCCTGGCCGAGGTAATGGGCTGGATGAGGGCCAATAAACTGAAGCTCAGTCCAGACAAGACGGAGGTCCTGTTGGTTGGTGGTTCTGGCTTTGGAGAGGGTGAACTGAACCTTGTTCTGAATGGGGTTGCACTCCCTCTTAGGGACAAGGTCCGCAGCTTGGGAGTGCTCCTCGACCCGGAGCTTTCACTAGAAGCTCAGGTGACAGCAGTGGCGAGGAGCGCTTTCCTCCAGCTTCGGCTGATCCACCAGCTGCGCCCCTATCTGGAGTATGACTGCCTCGCGACAGTGACACATGCATTGGTGACTTCCCGTCTCGACTTCTGTAACGCGCTCTACGTGGGGCTACCCTTGAAGACGGTCCGGATACTTCAACTGGTTCAAAACAGAGCTGCCAGGCTGCTGACGGGGACTGGGCGTTGTGTTCACATGACTCCAGTTCTCCGTCAGCTTCACTGGCTTCCCATTGAAGTCCGGGCCCAATTCAAGGTGTTGGTGATGACCTATAAAGCCCTAAACGGCTTGGGTCCTGGTTACCTGAAGGAGCGCTTGCATCCATATATGCCCAGCCGCCCCTTGAGATCAGCGGGGGAGGCCCTTCTCCGGGAACCCTCCGTGAAAGAAATTAGGAGGGTGGGTACTCGGAGGAGGGCTTTCTCTGCGGTGGCGCCTAAGTTATGGAACACGCTCCCCAGAGAGGTCCGCCTGGCGCCGTCGTTATTTGTTTTTCGGTGCCAGGCAAAGACCTTTTTATTCAAGCTGCATTTTAACTGTTAACATTATTGGTTTTATTTGGCCAGGGCGGCTTATTTTATACTGTATTGTTGTATTTTAATTTAATATATATATTTTTAATTCATATTATAATTATTTTAACTTGATGATGTGAGCCACCCCGAGGCTTCGGCGAATGGGGCGGCATAAAAATGTTTTAATAAATAAATAAAATAAAATAGTTCAGTCCCTGTAACCTACCAAGCTAAAGAGAAGCTACTATCATATATTATATTCTGCTAGTCCCAAGCAGGCAGGGCACACATTCAGCTGGTGGGCTGAATTGTGCTTGATCAGTCAGGTTGTGCAGGCCAGGACTAACATGTAAGGGGGATGGGGACACAGCTTAGTGGAAGAGGACAGAGTTTGCATGCCTGGTTCAATCTTGGGATCTGGATGAGACCAGGAAGACCACTGCCAGTCAGAGCAGACTCGAATGGTACATAATTTGACCCAGTCTGAAGCAGTTCCCTATATTCTTCAAGCATGTTTTAGTATGATTTGATCTTGCTTCTTATACATTGGTGGTTGCAGTGCGGGGAGAGAGGAGAACTAACGTTTTCCATTATCTTCATTTATTTCCAGAGATTCAGAAAACTGATTGTGGCTAGCCCAGATCTGAAAATGAGAGGAAAGCTTGGAATAGGCTCGTATGCTACAGTAAATGACTGTGATGCCAAACTGAAAAGCGATGGCAATATTTCAGCCATCACGGAAAAAGAGACACATTTCTAAAAGAACTTTCTTTTGAATTGTTTTTATATAAATAAATAAGTAAATAAATAAGTAAATAAATAAATACTTCACTTAATTATTTAGGCCAGCTTGTTTTGCACAACTTTATTAACAAGTTAATTTTAAAGTGAACTTGTATACTTGTTTAAAAGTGTTTTTAATTATATTATATAAGTAACAATTATATATATATTATATATATAAAATGAAATAGAATTGTTAGTGATGACTTGTAATATGGTGATTTCAGTAAGTGCTTTATAGATCCTAGAAGAATCTGTATAATGTGTTGTAAACTTTTATACTTTGGTGTGTGTTTTTAAAGGCATGGTGTTGTATAGATATATACTTTCTAATTTGTAAGCATTTCAGACCATTTCAGCTTCTACTGTATGTATATAAAGGGAATCACAGTGTCCTTATTATGTTAATATCTAAGGGAATTGTCTTCTGATGTGTAGCTTTGTTTCAACGTGTACCTTCCTGAATTTGGGCTTGATCCAAACCCCATTCTAAACCTGGTTTGCATAACATGATAGCAAGCTGTGGGTATTGTTGCATTCTGCTGGGCATCTTTTTTGCAGGGTACCTGTGAGCACATGGCTCAGTGTGGCTTGTCTTGTTGTGCAGACCTGGGTGCCATGACTTGTTGAAAGTGGGAAGCAACCCAACAGCAGCCCGTGGGTTATTTGAGGGTTACTGGCCATTCCAAGGAACCAGACCATTGAGGTTCCCTTGACACAGCAGCCTGTACTGATGTGGGTAATTATGCAAATTTTACCAGCACACTGAGTGGACAAAAAAGCCCCACCGTGGGTCATTTACTGCATCATGGCCAGGTGATCATGCATACTCAGCCTGCAGGTTTGCCAGATGTCACTAGCCTCAAGCAATGATGGCCTTCAATACTTTGGCTTTTACGCCAAGTAAAGAATGTATATGAGGCTAATTTGCCCAGGTCAGACTCTGACATTTGAGAAACCTGCTCTCAGAGGTTTGGAGGTAATGCATTTTCGTACAAACTTCTGACGATGGACCCTGCTTTACCCACTGGACACAGTCAGGAAACTAAGTGATAAACCACCTTGGACTTATATGACTCAAACAGCGGCCCCCACACCTCATGAAAGTCACCTTCGAAGCTCTCGTGAGTTGCAGAAGCATGGGGCTTTCTTTTCCAAGAGAGAAGGTAGGTGTTTAAACAAACAATAGCACTTCAAATAATGTCTCGATCAGAATTGTGGATTGTATCTGTTATTTGTAAAGCAGGAGGAGGCAAATCCTCATTGTGGAGCGAATTGGGAGAAACACATCCCTAAATGTCAAGCTATCCAACCTGTCACACTCTTAGAAATGTGATGGAAAGAAGTCATCACTGAATTACTATTTTTTCTGAACTCACTATAGAAATTATTTTTATATATAAATGAGCTATTAATAGAATAGTGACTTTATAATAGTGTTTGAATTCATAGGTGCTGTTTCATGGGATTTTTTAAAATATTCACATTTTATATTTCTTTGCATGACCCGGTGACTGCAGAAATCATCTCATTATTTTGGATTTGGCTTTTTCACAGGGAAACACACATGTGTTTGTGCACGTGACACTGAAAAAACAGTATAATTGGATAGCAGGAAATGATGCTGTCAGACTTTAGTATCATTAAGCACTTTTCAAAAGCTATTGAAAGCAGATGCTTTTTAAACCACTGATGAATGTGACTGTGATAATATGTAGCATATATATGGCATTTTAACGTAACCTGGTATTCAAAATTTCATTTATTGTATAATAGCTATCACTTGGTCCAGTATTCAGTTACTAAGCAAGATTAGAATCTTAAATTCATCCATATGCCCACATGTCTTAATATCGTATGGGAGAAAATCTACCTGTCTACTAATCGAGCAGCCTAACTATGGATAGAACAAGGCAAGTGGTCAGGTAAGCGTACTTTCAAGGATAACGAAGGCTGCGATTCCATACACACCCACCCATGAATAGACCTGCATAGGATTGTGCTGCAGTCCAAATCAAGACACCATTCCTGGACTTGATTATACAAATCTACCACGGGCAAAATGTTTTTTGTTCAAGTATTGCTGAATTTGATGTTCCTCTGGGCATTTTATGCTTATATGGCCCTTTTAATAAAATGGGACAAGGAATGTTACTTTGCACCTGGATTCACAGCAAATATGTTTAAACTCAGGAACATGTTATCCATCATATTGTTTGATGGAGTGGCTTCTCACCCAGCTTTCAAAGTGAACCCATTTCAATATGAATGGTGCACTCTAGCATGCATACCTATATATACCAAAGCACCAGTTTTTAAACAATTTCTTATAACAATCTAAAAATAGCATACCACTGGGAGCGGGAAAAAGCATGGTATATATTACGTCAGGTGTGTTACTAGGAGTAAACTCTTCAGAACTGCATTAATTTGCATAATGGAGAATATGCATACCAAAAAGCAGGTACTTTTAGCATGTTCATTACATATTCAAAGATGTTCTAGGTCAGTCTACTTCTTACCTATTAAGTCTATTGGACTAATATAATAAAATCTAAATGCTCAAGGGATATGAGAGGTGCAAGTTAAAGGAATATCTTCACTGCATCCTTGCAGTTTTATCTCTTCTTTCCATAGATTTTATTAGTTCAAAAATAACTGGGAAGGAGAACAAGTTGGACCTTGACACACACATGCATGATTTGCTCTTGACTCCTCTGACCATATGAGGTACAAACTTATACTATTGACATTTTTATTTATTTGCACATTTTGTTGGACAGCTATATCATCAATGTGTTGTCTTTTTCAAGTTCTAGAATACGCCAAGTATAAAGCCAAGCTGTTAATTTGGAATGCTGACTGATCTGTCTTCCTATGTGGATGTGTGTGAGCCAGTGAGAAGTTCAAATTTGTAACGTACAAGCACTGGGGAATAGTTTTAAGGGATCCTACTCATCAAAGCTAGCCATATATATGAGTTTTCCAAAGTAAGAAATGACGTGTTTCAGTATGTAGAGTTCACTGCCCTGACATCAACTTGCAATGGTATAGTTTTGGGCACCCCAGGCTCTTTCTTACATTAAAGTGTCTTCAGCGCAATCCTATGCAGGAGCACTTGGAAGTATGTTCCACTGCATGCAATGGGGCTTTATACCAAGTAAATGTGGATAGGGTTTCATTATTACTAAAAGAATGTTTTTATCCAATTATCCCATCATGTACTGTTTATGGAATATGATTCCTATTATGCTGCTATGAACTATTTCACCAATAGCTTTATACACATACATGTGATTTGGCATGGTCTAAAGCAGTGTTTCTAACTTGCTGTGCTTGTATTTGTGCAGATTTACTATTTCACTCATTTAACACTTGTACTTATTTTTTTAATGTATTGGGGTGGGGGGGGGAGTTGGGTTCAAATTCCCAACTAGTTCTGTGATTTATTTTTTATTTTTATTCTTTTCTGGAACAAAATGTGAAGAGCAATGATATTGTTATGACTTTTTTATATGCAGTAGGAAAAATAATGCCCCTTTCAGAAATATATGCAGTATTATTCAAAAGTACAGAAGAACCCAGTTTTATGTATTGTTTTACACAAGTAAGTTTTTATTTGGTTTCAAGAAAGCACAACATTTTGTCTGCTTACTCCTTTAAAAAAAATAAAATGGGTAGACATACTGTGCTTGGTGTACTGTGTATCTGGTTTACATTATTATGCCTATGTAGCTTTCACTGTTAACCCTGCAGAAAATTAGGGCTGGGTATTCCATTTTACAGGTATGTAAACTTTAACAGCGTAAATTTTAGGCTGTGTTCACATGTCATAGCAAGCAATTCTTCATGGCTTCCATGCTGTGTGATTTAATGACTTACTGTGTCTGATAAGTGGTTTCTATGCTAGCATGGTTGCTACCCTGTTTACTCAGCCCTGCTGTTGGCATGTATCCCATCAGCCACTGCACCTCAAATTCAGCCCCACCATGAATGGCTGGAGCAGCTCCTGCAGCTGCTGCTCTTTCCACAGGACTCTGGTAGCTAAATATCAGGACTGTAGAAACCATGATGCCAGATTCAGATGACCAGAAAAACTATGGCAAAGCATGAAAACTGTAGAACAGATCATTGTTTCTTTTTGTGGTTCCTAAAACTCAAATGCACCATGCACTATGGGTCAGACAATGCAATAGATCAGCTTGCAGAAGAAACCACCATGGTTTATGTCATGTTGAACCCACTATTTGAACAAAGCACTGGCATAACAAGCCACATTATTATTGGCACAGATATCCTATTACTTAGGTAAGTGAGATTCTGACACAGAAGTGGTTTATCCCAGTTCACCAACACTGGATCTAATATTAATATCAGATACTAAAGGCCACTTTTTTGTTACAGTGGCCCACTGAATCAGATTTTCTGATCACTGTAAAGGTGTATGACATGTAACTAGGTGATAGTGCTGTACTTGAAGACATGTCAAAGAGTAGCTAAAGGCTATGGTTATCTTTCTCCTTTTATTCAGAAAATTCATATTCAAAGTCATATTACCATATTCACATATGGTAATACGCAGCAATCTAACTGATTTAAAGCCAAGCATACCTAAATTAATGGGAAAAAAATAATGGCTAGTGTTTCTCATCTAAACTTTTAGTCATCTAAAAGCTGAAACAATAACTTTAGTCTTCTATTAGCAGTCTGGAAAATTAGCAAATGTTATGCTACGTTTGCACATTGTATTTTTTCTCTACCTATTCAGCTAATATACATAAATGTTTCCTTGACTAACTTTATATTTATCTTGGCAGCTGTTGCTTATTTTTCCCTTCTAGTGGCAGATTTAAGGGATGCTTTTCCAAAGCACTATTCTCCATGGCATTCAGGAGGCTAGCGGAAGTAACACAGCCTCCACATATACAGAACAATTTGTGCAGTGCTTTGCTTCCTGGGCCAGCTCCACATTCTGAT